GAAAATGCATGGGAAGGACCTCTGGCCATAATCTGACTCCCTACTGGCATGACAGCTGGAGGTACGCATCTGCATCCCCTTGTTTTCCTCCCCACTGTGTGGAGGCACAGAATGCAGACAGGATCAGGGCACTCCAGCAGCTGGACAATTAAGGGACCATGAAATAAATACCTTTCAGGTGAGCCTCAGCTGCTCCAGAGGAGTGAATATTCATAAGTCTTTCTTCTCTGACCTTTGGCTTACTCTTATGGGTTCTTTCATTTTAATTTTAATTGGGATATGCCCCAATTATTACCCATGGGAAAGGGACATATCCACCCCAGTTTTTCTGAAGGAGTCTTCCAGTTCTGAAACCCTCAACCGCCTGTTGCCATCCAAATTACTTTTTCCCCACCTCTCTCCTATTTCATCTTGGGGCTTCCCTCTGCCGCCCTCTTTCATTAGGAGTTCCTAGCACACAAGCAGCATAACACAACAAAACCATATCAAGATGAAACCTCCTTTCATGCAGGCAGCTGAATCCTGGCGGGGAATTAACGAGAACGGACAGTTAGGGTTCTCCTGAGGAAATCCTGTAAACTGCAGACTACCCTCACACAGAAAAATTGCATTGAAACACAGCCATTGGCTGTAGTGTTACATCTTGTACACCATCACCTTAGCTGGGTTAAAAGAGTTCAAGTGACAGTTGGAGCAATGTCATATTTTAACAGTCAAAAAACAAAGCCACATCTGCAGTTCTTAGTTCAGGTGAGCACAGTCTTAGAACTACATAAAAAGACAGGGTTTTTTTTAATGCTGTGATTAATTATTATTATTATAACTTTATTTTGGCCAAATTCTACTTTGAAAATGAGATTTAATCAAGAGTTACTGTGCTTAGTGTGTTACTCTGCGCAAGTTTGATTGATTTCTTCTTGCTCATGCAAAAATCAAGGCAATAAGACATGACTCTTAAATTAAAGAGTGGATTATCACCTTCAGGGAGAAGTCTAAGGATTTAGGAAGAACCTCAAATAAGGAATGAACACATTAATGACAAAGGGGTTAGCATTCACTGTCTGCTCATTTGAAATAGAGGAAGATCATTTGAGTGTGTGTACAACAAAGCCTTTTCAGTTTCCTGAAACCAAATTTATTAACTATTAGTCTATGCTAAAAACCCCTAGCCCTTTGATAAAATGTTGGGAAATAAAACATGCATGTTAAATGTGAAGTAATTTTTCATTATTAGTAGTATTATTAAATGTGGTATTTTGCCCTGTTTGTTTTTGTTGGGTAGGTAGCTGCTCATGTTCTGCCAGTTAATCCTGTTCTTTTGTGTATTTTAATTATAAAGCACCTAATAATGTGGTGACTGCTTTTAATAAATTAAAAATACCTAGATAAATAGAGAGGTGATGTTGACTATTAGGCACAACATGCAGGTTTGGTTAAAAACAGTAAAGTTTGTTTGACCTCTCAAAGGAGCTTCTGCAGCTTAACAGAGATATAAGACATTTGCTCTCAGCTCTAGCAGAAGCGCCTGAAGCATAAGGACCTGGGAAGTTCTGTTCACGGACAGAAATAATCACCTCACACAACATCAAGATTTTGTCTGTTCAGCCCGCATAAATACTGTTGTGAATTCTACATGTGACAGTGAACAGCATTTTGCAGACTTGTGAAATTTTTACCTTTTCAGCTCAGTGTGGTTTGACCACATGCTTTGTAGCTTGGAAAAGAACAAGCTACTTGTGCATTTCCCCAAAAGCAGTTGGTTCATATGTCTCTGAAACAGAGAGGATAAAATGCTGAGGCTGTGGCCAGTTTCAATGCTTACCTCGTCAGTGGTGCGCCAGTCACCCTGCAAAGCCAATGCAATGTAATTGTTAGTCACAGGTGCTTACACTAACTTTTGATAGTCTGAAACAACTGGAACTTGCCCTGATTTTTTAATCAGACCCTTATAATAGTCCTTATGTTAGTACACAGAGCTCAGCAACTCTTACAGGCTGGGTTTAGCCAGCATTTCTGGGTGAGATCTCAGCAAAATTTGGATTGTTTCATGTACGAGCCCATATGGAAACTGAGATCTTTAGATACCCTTGTCATCATTATCTAAGTGTGACTTTATCATTCTACATCAGTGGAACCTTTCTGGGGATCTCACCATTGGCAAAAGTACTGAGATGAGGAGAAAAAAGAATCAGGAGAAAATGTACTACAGTAACCCCTTATTAGTGAATGAATGCACACTCATGCATACTTTAGCTATCTGCTTTGATATCCAAATACAATAGAGCTATAGACTAGGCTCAGAATTTGACCTTCAGTATCTTACTGCCAGGGCATTTATTCATCAACTGGTTTCTTTAGTCTTAGGCTGTTTTTGTGCTAAGTACTGAAGGAATCTGGTAACCCCTGCTGTGCCAGATGAGATTGTCCCTGTAGAGTGACAGCGGTGTAAAACTGGCAAACCTGAGCCTGCCATGTAATGATATCGCCTGCTAATCCTTCTTCATCAACAGAATCCAAGCTTTACTAAACTGCTTTAGTGATGGGATAATGTTTCTTTCTGTCTGTCAAGGCCTCCTTTTCAATGGAGATATAAAAGGGATCTTATAAAATCTATCCCCTCTTGGTCACGAAATATTTTATTATATTATGAAGCCCAAGTTGTACAGCTGAGAGCATAACAATTTGTGTACAGAACTGCTCCAGAAAAAAACATTTCTGCTGCTCTTCTGCACATTCCTATCTGCCTTTTATATCACTTTAATATTATGAAATACATCCTTCTGCATGGTATTCATAGTTCAAAGGGAATATTTCTTGATGGTCCTTTTGCTTGCTCAAGCCTTTGTAGTACTTGAAATGCAAAGATTTATGTGTTTTTTTGCTCTGTTTGTTCCTTACATACACATATATACATGTATATATCTATTTCAAATTGGCTGATTAAAGTAATCAGTATAGAGGAATCCCTATCTTAAGAACAGTATCATCAGCTGTATTCATGGCTTCAGTCAACACTTTTGTTTTGAGATCAGAATACAAATACAAAATCAAGGGGCAGGAAGTATTTTTTTTCTTGCCTTCAAAAACTATGCTGACCTATGCTCCATTGCTGAATATTGAAAGCCCATACAGCTACAGAACTTCATACCACAGCTTTGAGCACGGGGACTAATTCAGCAAACACAAGGCCCTGATGACTCTATAATTTATTCTCAGAACTGTCCCTTCCCCTTTAATAGCAGTGATAAAATGAGGATGTATTTTGGGAGTCTCCATAGGACTGGACCAGATAGCCAGGGTTTTAAAAAGAGAAAAGAGCACTTCCCTTTTAGGTAACAATCTAAAACTGTTTTAACATCTCTTAATGGTTTCTCTGTCCCGTTCCAAACAATTTTCAGACTGCAAGTGGTTACCTTTTCTTGTGCCTTTTGGTCACAGCTGCATTAACGTTATGCAGCAGCACGTGTGAAAAAAAGCTTTGTCGCTCCACCTTAACTTTACAGGTATTTGAGCACAGCACCTGCTGTGCTCTCTAATGTGTTTTATTGAAAGCCACGACTGAACATCATGACAACCATACCATTAGTGATGTTATTTCTCTCCCATCCCTTGCCCGGGCTGCAAGTCATACCTACAGTGCACTACTTTGTTTTGGCAGAAGTTTTGTTTTAAATGCACATACTGCTATTTATATACAGTAGAAAAAGCGAGGCTTAAAGCAGAGGTATTGCACTTGACACAAGAGACACAGGCTTATAATGTTCATAGTCTCTGAGGGAGTTCATTCCCATAAGATGAGGTTTGCCATTATGAGAAGTTCTCTTCCAAGTGAGGAGCAAAGCTGGTCATCACAGTCTTTGCACAGAACTTTAAATTAATTTGGGACCCACACCACTGCGTTGGAGACAATAGACTTGGGCTGGACACAACACTGTATGAAAACACTAAGAGGGTACTTGTTCTAGTCTGTTCTAGTAAGAAGGGAAGTTGTAGCCTTGTACTTGCTAGAATTTCCTAAGGGCTCATGACTTGTCTCTCATATACATGGTATTGTTTTAGTCTAGACAAGAGTTGACAAAAGCTTGTATAATGGGGAACAGGTTATCATCTGTCAGAATAGGGAGGAAGTGTCCTGGAACTGAAAGTGGTGGGGTGTGGTAGGAAGCAAGAGCTTCTCATCTGTCAGGAGCCCCTGGAGCTCTGCAAGTAGCTGACCCAGTGTGCCAGCTGCGGTTTGGTAATTTCAACCAAAGTCTACAAGAAAGTCCCTGGAGCTCTTCCCTTCACACAATACTGTAACATCTTTCTATTATAAGACTCACTTGTAACTAACTCCATTTGCTCTTCTCAAGACTTGGGAATAAGCTGATGGCAATGATACTGTTGTAGAGAACTATAATAATTTTATGTAAATGACATACTGCTGACATACAAGTCCAGTTTGGTAGTGTCCACATATGGAGCTGGATAAAGCACTGTAAAGTGCTTTTGGGGGAATGCAAAAAGAAAAGTATGAGAAATGACAGAGGTGCAGTTTCACACCAATACACTGATGATACATCTTGCAGAGAAGAGCTTATACTATTTTGGTGCAACCGAGACTCTTGTTACTTCCCTAAGACAGAGTAACAGCATCTCATTGCTGACAGTATCAGCACAGACTCACAGAGGAGGGGAATGGTTGTCTGCTCAAAAGGTACTGATGGAAACCGATTTAACTACACCAGGGTGGCCATTCTGTGACTCTTGAGAGCACTGTTCCCATGCTGAGCTATATCCTATGACAGACTTCAAGGTTGTGCCAACATAAGGCTGCTGAGTAATTGGCTTCTAGGCTGTAGGAGGAATGCTGCCAGCTGAGGCTCCCTAGGTTAGGATGACTTAGAATCTAAATTGTTTCTATCCTATGTGTTGCCTTAAATCCAGACTAGAACAAAGGATCCAATTTCTGTTCGATGAGCCTGTAGATGACTTCTGACTAACTTCTTTCATTTGTTTAGATATGAATATCTTGATGCTCTGCATTAGCTGGATAGAAAGGATGTACCCAGAGCTGACTACGCTAGTCTATGCTTGAAGAACAAAGGCAATAATTCTTCTTCAGCACTGCATTGCCAGTCCTGGTTGTCAGTGATGCCACTTCTCCTTCACCCATGGGAAGAAGAGACAGGGAGAAGGACCAAAGTTTTGCAAAACTACCAGGATTCACTACTTTGTCCAGTGGGGCTGGTGGTATGCAAGGTTGGCTTGCCTAGAATCCATTTCCGTAGCTGCAGCACCACAAGGAGCGTGGGAAGAGAAAAACTGGCCCTAAAAACCAGTCAAAAAACCCCACAAAGAAGCATATCTGTAGGAGACACATAATGTCTGCTAAGGAGCGAAAGCAAACCTCAGCAGGCTTGTTGTGCCTGGGAGTCATCCTTGAGGAAAAAAATGTATTCACACATCATATTGGACATTTTCAAGCTGGATTTGTCATGGCCCCCATCAAGTGGCTTTACTTGTCAAATAGGTCCCTCCCCTTCCCCACCCGTATGAAATACAACGGATAAGCAATCAAAACTCGTGTGGCATACAGAAAAATGCATTAGTTAAGTTGTGCTTTCTGAAGGAATCAAGTGATCATGTGGTTACATCATGAGGGTGTAATCAAAGGGGTAAAGTGGTGGTACTAGTGGCACAGTCATCTTCAAAGAGAGCTTTTTTGGCTGGGATTTCAACCTCAGTCTCAACTTATTTCTTCCTAAAAGGGATGACAGCTCTGCAGAATGCTGAGTGACTCCCGTGACCATTAAATGACATTATTTTTCCAGACAGTTATCGTAAATAACATTTTCTGTTAAAACACATGACAAAAACTCTATTACATTTTCTGCTGTGTTTTGAAAGATATGCCTTTCTACAATTCATGATCAAATATGGCTAAAAGACTCTGGAAAGAAGCTTTTGTGATCAGGTTGTTGTGCTGTAAACTGAATTAAAAAGAAGTACCTTCTTTGTCAAGGTGGTTTAAAGTTGCCACAATCAAAAGTCAAAACTTCCCCATAATCTGAGATGACCAAGAGTATTTGTACAGTGTAATGCTTGCTGACAAAAAAACCTTCAGAAAAGCCATATCACCAGAAAAAAACAATTCAAAAGTGATCACATAATATTTTCTTTTTATTCGAAATGTCAGGATCTCTCATAAATAAGCAGATATGTAACTTGCTGGATGAAAAGACCAAGTCCTGCATGTTCTAAAAGTAGGCAGTAATTCAATAAAGATTTCTTTTAAGAAAAGCACAATATTTGACTGACCCTGTGAAATTTGCCCCTCTGCTTAGGCCCTCACCTGCACCACCACACTTCAGCTTACAGTCCTCTCAGGGTGTGCCATCACATGTGCTTATTGTGATCGGTGCTGGCCAGTGAAATGATCCAATTTAGTCCTCAGAGTTAGCAAGTGAGCTGGTGCAGAGGAAAAGGTGCTAACCCCTAAGGAAGGGATGAGAACAAGCCCTGTGCACATGTGTAACGTCCTAGGCCGGTGCACAGCTGAGGCTGGAGTTTTATGGAATTCCCTCTCCTACTGTATTTATTAATTAGATGGTGACAGGAACTCTCCTGGCTGCTGGCCCTTGGTCATCAACACTGCTCATTTGTTGAATGGTGCCTGGCCTGAGGGTTTGGCCTGCAGTGACTAATGCTATTCCAAGGAATTTGGCAGCTGGCACAATCAAGGACCGCTTCCTAGTAGATACCCTATTTTAGAAGTTAAGAGGGTTGAATACAACAGGCACGAGTTAAACTCTGCAGAAGCCCTTCTTGTTATTCTTGTCTTTCCTCACCAAGTTCAGCTCTATCTGCACCTTCTCCTTCCTAACCCCATCCCTACGCATCTGGACTGCATACCTCTACTCTTCCCAGGATATCTGTCCCTATTTCCACTGCCTGTGCATTTCCTTCTTGCCTTTAATTTTACCAGCAGGTCTTGACTCAGCCATGCTGGTCTTTTGCCTTCCTTTCCTGATTTCTTACATCAGGGGATCAAGAGTTCTTATGCTCTTTGGAAAGCATCCTTAAAGATCTGCCAGCTCTGTTCTGCTTTCTTGTCCTTGAGGGCAGTTCCTCAGAGGGTCCTACTGACTAACTCCCTAAACAGCTGGAATTCTGCTTTGGTAACATTCAGGGTCTTGATTTTATTCTTTGCCTGACACATATCCCTCTGGACTGCAAACTCCACCAGTGCATGATCACTGCAGCCTGGGCTGCCTCCAGTCTTGACATCCTTGATTAGCTCTCCTGCTTTGATAACCATCAGATCCAGTATCACATCCCCTCTGGTAGGGCTGTCTACTACCTGTCTCTTGAAGTTACCCTCCATGCATTCGAGGAATCTCCTGGGTTGTCTATGGGTCACTGTGCTACTTTTCCAGCAGATGTTGTCGTGGTTGAAGTCAGCAGGACAAGAGCCTGTGAGCACGATGCCTCCTGTAGCTGGAGAAGGAAAGCTTCATCAGTAGGTTTCCCTTGGTCAGGTGACCTGTAGCAGACACCAACCACGAGGTTCCTTTTGTTGCCTTTTTCTCTGATTCTTACCCTCGGGTTTTCAACCTGCTCATGGATATTCTTCAGAGATAGCTCTTCATGTTCTATCCAACTCCTGATGTAGAGGGGAACCCCTCTGCCTCTCCTTCCTCTCCTGTCCTTTCTGAACAGCCTGTGGCCATCAATAGCCACACTTCAGTCATGGGACTCATCCCACCAAGTTTCAGTAATGGCAAGTAGGTCGTAGCTTTCTAGCAGCATGGTGGCTTCCAACTCTCTCTGTTGCCCATGCAGAGTGTGTTGGTGCAGAGACACTTCAGCTGGGCTGTTGGCCACGTCACCTTCTTAGAGAAACACCCCTTAATTCCTCTGAGATATTTCCCTGTTGGTTTCTATTACCACAGGAGCTCCTGGTTCATCTCAGTAAGCAATGAAACTGCTTTGCTTTGGGTAGAACACAGAACTTCTCTGCTTTCTTAGAAAAACAAAATTATGCTGATTTGTATTTTTTCCTTGTGCAGCCTGCATTTGTTTGCACACAGGATGAGAATAATGAAGGAGTCTATAACATTCAGCTGGTGAAATTCTATTGGAGTTTGCAAGAAACAAAACACACAAAAACAGCTCATCAAGTAAAAATGGCTGATTGATGCAAAAGGCAACACAGATGGAGGTAATGGGGTTTCAAAAGAGGAATTAGAGAAGATCTGAACGGAAGCTCATAAATCTGCAGCAATTCAGCTTTGCCAAGAATTGCAGTGGGAAATCCTCATTATGAGAGATATTTCCATGCTGTACTCACCCATGAGAGGAGCTTTGCTAGGGCAACCACAGGGAAAGCATGATCTAGTGGTGACAGTGAGACCCAGCAATCAGCATTCCTAAGTCTTGTCAGCCTGTGCTGCTGACTCACCAGGCAGCCTTGAGTGAGTCACTCATTGCCGGATGCTTCCACCTGACCTTGTCACGGTGCTGCAAACAAGGAAGCAAAACAGACTTACCTTTGGCAACTCTGGCAAACAAGTTTTATCATGTTGTATTTCAGCTTCCCCCTGCCACCAGATGAGTAGTATGACTGAGAAAGAAGCTTTAGGCCAGGCCAGGCCATTTTTTGGTCTGGGGGCTGTTGCCCTGGCATGGCAGAGACACAAGGAGTTGTTTGCAGCAGAGGAGGACGAGAGGGGCTCTCGACTGTCGCAAAGGAAACATGATGACTGGTAGACAGCTCTTTGTGCATAAGAAGTGGAGAACCTGGTTGGTGGAAAGCTTTTTGTACGTAGGCAGCAGAGAATCCAGTGGCTCAGCAGATCCCATGGGAAAGACCAGTGAGAGAGGAGGATGCAGAGCCCCAGGGAGGGAGCCACATGAATGTATGAAATAACCTCATGCCACACCAGCTCAGTTGAAGGACTCAGAAGCTAGCCTTGAATCTTCTACCAAATGGAAAAAAGATCACTGCTTCTAACAGTGGGCTAATGAATCTTGGAGGGCTGCAAAATCTGGGTATTTTTCTGGTTTATTCTACCAGTTTCTCACCAGAAGTCACACCCTGTTGCTAGTCTGGGAAGGACCATCCTTGGTATGGCAATCTCTGTCTCAAGGCAATTGCTGTGACGTGCTTTTTCTCTTCTGTGGGATCAGATGAGGGCAGCCTGATCTATGTTAGGGAAAGATCATCAAGAGTGTCTGAAACAATTCACTTGGCATTAGGTTTTCCTGAGGGTTTCTCTCAGTAGTGCCTCTGCAGAGCACTTCTTGTACCACCACGTCCGACCACAAACACTGAGCTGGACTAACATGACTCACAAAGCCTAAAAAAAAGAGCTGAGACCTGAGTGGTGCTTGGTCAGACCTACAAGTTCAGGACAGAAGGAGCCATAATCACCTTCTCCCTGCCTGAACTTCAGATCCCCTCACCTCCCAGTGCTGGCGCTGGACCAAACATCCCTCTTCCATTACAGGAGATAATGTTGTCATTAATCACTTTGCTGCATCCAGTATTTATACATAGAAAATTCAACCTGTATTCCAGGTTTTTGAAAATCCCTCCTGCGTGCCGGCACAGGGTTAGTTTTTGGTTGCCCAGATCCTCACTAGCAGCTGTGGGAGCAGATTTTCAGGAAGGGGCAAATGAGAGGCTAGCCACCCTGCAGAGCTGTAATCTGGGGTTTGGAGTCAGCCCACGTCTTGTACATATATGTGGCATACACAAGTGCCATTAAAGTCAGTCCAGGAGTTCTCACTGCAGTAGGCAGCTTAGACACAAACACAGGCACCAAACTGTGTCCTGAGTGCTCTCCCCTGCCGCTTCCACTCCCTGCTCAGCTTCCCCTGGGCTCTCTGGGGGCTGTGAAATGGTGGAGGGTTTGAGGTGGGTCTCAGCTCCACTGGCCTGAGGTGGGTAAACCAATGTGAGTAAGCTGTAAGTGGTCCCTATTTTCTGTTACTGTAACCCTTCAGTGACACCTGGAAGCTTCAGGGACTGATTCATAAGACCACATTTACAACAAGTTAGCTGCACTAATGGAGCTGTAGGAAGAGGTCTCTAGAAATCTTCATAGGTATGGCCTTAGCCCAGCTACATAGATGGGCAACGCAGAAATCTGTCCTGAGCTGTTTGTACTAACCCACAAGCCAGGTTGTATTTTAGTAGGTAGTTCTCTATCAGTCTGTAGAGCCTCGTCAGCACTCTGGCAGTTACCCAGGTAGGTGATGGACATCCCTCTGTGTGAGGTCTCAACCTGACACCACAAGGTACTCCACAGGGAGCAAGCCTTCATTCAGAGAGGGAGACACCTCCATGCAATAAGTGCCTCTTGTTTCTGGTCTGTGACTGTTGGAAAACCAGGCTAGTGAAACATGTTTGCCAATTTTAATCCCTGGATAGCACAGTGAAGCCTTATGTCCTTTGTGCTGCATCCAGGTAGAGCATTGCATTGCTAAACATATTAAGTGTTAGAGTTTTTGTACTCTCTTGATGGAAGCAGATAAAAATAATACTTACGATGAAGCCGACCAATCTGAGCTAGTGAAACACTGAAAACACCCAGTTGTCTTTGAATAGATACATTTCAAAGTGTTGCCCAAATACTTTGGAACAATATTCAAACTATGTTTTCTTTGTGTAGTATTTTATTTGACGCTTGAAAGATATTTGATGTCTGCAAGCTATTGAATTTGACTCTCAGCTTATGTTGAGGACTAAGCAACATACTTCATGGCTGCAGGACTGAAGTTTCTCTCCCGACAACTAGTGATTTGCACACAATAATTTTTCTCTCTTTTTTTGGCTTTTCTGCAGGTAATTTACATAAATTCACAAAGCATTTGCAGAATGGCTTCTACCAATAGCAAAACCATTATG